TCGTCCGGATTACATCCCGCTCACCCAACCACCACTTATGGCATTATAACCATCACTCTAACGCATGTCTGAAACAGCCTGTCACGTAGAATGTCCTTTTTAACCGAGACGACATGCTCATGTTGGTGTGTCCCTGGGCATAGTGTTTTATAAGCCACCACTATAGGCCCAGCACACCTGCAGGAAGAAGAAAAAATAGACTTGACAATACATAACCATGCAAACCTGCCAGGCTGTACAAATATCAATAACACGCCCATCGGCACCATCTATACAGCCAAGATCCATGGTCAGCAGTCCCCTATCTCCCTTCAATCTGAGCTATGCTTTCTATGATTGTGTGTGTGTGAGTGAGTTATTTTATATTTAATTTTAGGGGAGAAGCATTCATGGATTCTGCAGACGTTGAGTCCAGCAAGAGGGAGCTGCTCAGACAGCGCTGAGCTTCTACCTGAGTGCTAGAGGCACATTCCTATGAAATCCAAAATCCTGGGAATCATTTCTTCCTTGGCCACGTGCTTCTTAGAGGGCATGCGTCACATCTAAAAGTCTTTTTCGTTACAAAAGCCTGGGGGAATCAGACCAAAGGCCTCTCAGGACTAGATCACCCAGATGCCTCTAGCAAATCCACAAGCAGAGCATAAGGAAAAAAGTTTTCCCCTTGGTTCTGCTGTAATTTGCAGCCTTCTTTCATTAATCAGCGGACAACAACACCCCCCTTGAGTTCAAGTATTTCGAGAAAACTGGGCCGACCCCTTCTGTTTCATTTAGACTGCTCTTCCTTGGAAATGTCTTTTCCTTTTTCTAAAAATTCTAAAACAATGAATCGCTAGTTATTTTTGCTCAAAGTACTGTGAGTCAACAGAGAAAGCAGGTTAACGTAAAGTTTAACCAGCTTTGATGGTTGTTGTGGGTTTTTCAGGCTCTTTGGCCATGTTCTGAAGGTTGTTCTTCCTGACATTTCGCCAGTCTCTGTGGCCATGGGCCTCTTCAGAGGACTGGAGCAGGAACTCTGTCCATGCTCTGCTGCTGTTTGTTTAGCCAGCTTTATTTTGCATTCAGAAAAACATCAGAGCACTCCCAAGTACTTGAAAGGAGTCTGCTCACCTTCTGCCTGGCATTTCACACATCCACTGATTGAATGAAAAAATAAAATAAAATTCAAAGCACGAAGCAATCGTAAGAAAGCAAAACAGCCCGCATTCTGTGCTCCGGCAGTGTATATGCTGCACTGAACGACTCCCTGTATCATACTGCTTTCAATCAGCACACAGTGGTGGTTGCCTCCAGAATCCGGAATTGTAAACACAATTTCCCCAGAAGATCAAAACTCAATTTTGAAAATGGCATTAACTCAGAAGTGAAAATGATGATCACAAAAGAGAGGGCGCAGGGCAGCTGTGAGCTTCACCTAAATGCAGTGGGGTGTTTTTTTCCTACGTCCAGGAGCTGCGAGGAGGGCAAGTCATCATAAAGCCATCCCTGCTCAAAATATACTCATTTTCTGCCCATATGATTACCGTGAAAATCGTACGGAAAATTGCTAGCTCTATTGGGGATGATTTTTTTTTCTGGGTTTTTTTTTTAAAAAGAAGAAATAATAATTGCAAGAAACAACATGATACGCCAGCGCGATGTTGTAGGGAGCTCCGGGAAAAGCCCATCGGGAGACCAAAGAAAAATGTTTGGGGCCAGAAAAGGATACATAAGGCCAGGCAACTGCACCTGCAGCAAGGCTACTCAACTAAGAAACACTAGGCTTCCGAGAAAGGGGAGATGATGTTTTTCATCAGCGTTCTCTTTTGCAATTTACCTCCCTTTTCTCTAGATGGAGGGGCGAGAAGTTTGGGGTCCCTGAGGGCAAGAGAGGAAAGCAGACTTAACAAAAGGCCACCAGTTGTGGCTTATTGGACAGTTCCAGGTTTAATTACTGGCAACTCCTGCTAAAGCGGCAAAGGTCGGATTCCCCCTTTTCCCACTATAGAGAAAGCCTTACTCCAGTCAGCACCAAGTAGAGAGAACAAAGTTAGGAGAAACAGCTTCACAGCATCATGTCACGTAGAGCTAGGCCATTCGGGGGGCAGTTTGGCCTCCAAAGGACCCACTGAGGCCATGTCAAATTTCCTGGGGTTTTTTTTGGGAGGGGGGGACAAAAAGCATCTACCCTTCTCCTTAAAGCAAAAGTCTTGTTCTCACAAAAAAAAAACCTGGTCCGTGAAGGTCTTAAAAGGTCAGCAATTCTCAGTTTCAAGCAAAAAGGATAGCTTAGAGGGGGGTGAGAGGCAGCAATGCCAGCAGAACAGACTGGTTCTGACTCATATATTTTCACTTCCTACACTAGGGCCTAAATCCTGTGGCTTAGCTTAACAAAGAGCAGCAGAGTAAACCAGACCCATCAAAACTCAATGAGACCTGGTGAATCAATTCCTCCAGAACCGGAAGCACCACTGATTCACATGCACCTACTCTAGATATGACTTCCTATTCTGCGGTTGCAGCAGACCCATTGAAACCCAATGGAACTTACACAAAAGTTGACTCATCCAATCTCCATTGATTCAATGGAGTGCAATTTACTACATGAAGCAGTAGGGGGTTGCCCACTCATTGCTTCCCCCTTTTGTTGATTTTTTTTTCCAGCTACAGTTTGTTGACCGTGTCGGTTTGGCAAATCAGGTGAGACTTAACCTGGAGTCACCTCTAGCCCACGATTCAAAACTGTGGTTTGCAAAACACAGCTTGTTTGGAGACAGTATCCAGTTACCACCAGTTCGGACATTGTGGGGAAGAAAGGATAGAATGAGAAAGGAGAAATAAGACCAAAAAAAATAGGCACAGAGTTCCTGAGCCTCCACACTGTGATGTGGGGGACTTTAAAGTGAGAACACACAAGTGTAAACTTTACCACAGTACATTTAGGGCTCGCTGCCCTTCATATCAAGGAGACAAGAGCCGACATATCTGGAGATTTTAATCCTTTCAGCAGCTGCTGTGACAATTTCAATTATCACTTCCTATACAAAAAGGATATTTCTAATTCTAGCAATTTACATCACGCAAGGGAAACCGAAATTGGCAGCTAACCTAAACTAAAACCCAGACAGGCATTAACTTACTGCTTTTTCTCAAAATTAAAACTTTAAAAAAAACACCACTCCATTTTATCCAGAGTATAAGGAGTTCATATGGTGCTTGCCCGGAGAGGACTTAAAATGAGGTTGGCTTGCTTGTTGTTGTTGGTTTTTTTGTGGGGATTTTTGTAGTTGTTCAGAATATGAATTCTCATATTCGCTTTTTATCAGTTTTAAATTGACATGATGAAGTCCCGCTTGGTTTTTTGCTCTCGTCCAAATGAAGGTAAGAAGAAATTCTCTCGTACAAGGCCACAGTGATAAGGAGAAGGAGCCGTACGAGGAGACGATGTCTAGAGGGGCGGGGTAAAAAATGAATGAATGAATGAATGAATGAATGAATGAATGAATGAATGAATGAATGAATAAATAAATAAATAAATAAATAAATAAATAAATAAATAAATAAAATACGCAGAAAAGACTGGTATGGGGTAGAAAAACATCATGACCTTGATAGGTTTCCCAAATGCCTTATCCGAACCCCCCCTTCAAATATGCAGGAGTCTGGTTCATGCGTACAAGAAGCACACCACTTCCGACTCTACACCCTGTCACTGGAAAATGAATGACTCCTCCGTTTGAATAAATGGGACTCAAGGCCCCTCTCCAACACCCTGCCACGAAACGGCCCGAGAAAGCAAGATTAAATGCAGTTTGCCTGTGTGTTCTGAACAGGATCCCAGCCTACTCTCACCAAGGCTTTGGGGGGGATTCTGCCCTGACCTGCAGGCCACGTTTGGGCAAACTGTAGCAGGCCTCGCAAATGGGTTTTTTTGGAACATCAAAACGGGAAGCATTTAGACATCAACGGCACTTCTGATTTTTATTTCGAGACTTGGTACCTTCTCTTAAGGTGGTCTACATACAAATGACCTGGAGGCCTCTGAGACCATAAAAACATACCCCTTTCCCCCCCTCCTAGAATTGGTTTTGATACTGAAGGGCAGCAGGCAGGCTCCAAAGCAGATGAATCTCTGCAAAACCAAGTTGGGGGGGGGGGCAGAAGAGATCCACAGGCTGGCTGCACTCCGTCTAACCCTAGTCTCACCCCATATGTTGCCAGAATAAAAAGGAAGCAAGGCGGTTATAGGGATCACGCAACTCGCCTGTTACAGCAGCTCCAACAAGCTGCCAATCGGTTACGGGGACCAATTTAAAGTGCTGGTTCTGAAATCCAAAATGGCCTGCGTCTCAGCTATTTAAAAGACTGCATCTCCCCACCCACCCCCAATGAGCCTGCCTGGAAATAAAGACCATCAGAGAAGGCTTTTGTCTTGGTCTCCCCACACCTTCCAGATGCATCTGATTTGCACAGGAGAGAGCCTTCTCTTTTGCTGCTCCCAGACTGTGGAACTCCCTCCCACTGGAGACCAGCCTGGCCCAAATTTTGCTGTCCTCCTGCAAGCAGGTAAAGACCTTTCTCTTCAGGCAAGCCTTCCCACAATAACTAGCTGCATGTCTGTGATTTTTAGACGGATTGTTATGCATTACTGCTTTGACTAGATTTTCAGTAGTACTTGTGTTTTCCGTTTCTTAGAGCAGCTTTTCAAAAAATATTTGCATACTTATTCTTAGCTTTAATATTGCCTTGTAATGATGTAAAGATGCCTCTTTATACTCATTGTTCTTAGCTTTAAATGTTGTATTTTAATGTCGTTAACCACCACTTTCTACTGATTGTTTCCAACTTCAAATATTGTTTTTTCAGTGTTGTAAGCTGTGTTGGGTCCTTTTCAAGGAGAAAAGCGGGGTAAAAATAATTAAAATAAACAAACCAACAGGCACAGTACAAGGGGCCCTTCAGACTTTCATCTATAAACGTCTCCTCCAACGTGGCTTGCTCAAGCACTTGAGAAATCAACTCACCAGTGAAAAGAAAGAAAATCAAGACCATGATCATTGTGTATCCAAAGTACAAAATGGTGCTGGCCGTCCCTGTGATCTGGAGTTTGGAGAAGAAATAATGGACTGCATAGATGAACAGATAGACGGCCGTGAAGCTGCTGGTTAAGAAGGATCTCCACCACCAGTGGTAGTCCTAGAAGCAAACCAAAAAAAGGGTGAGAAATGCAACCAGCCAGAAAGAACCACCCGAACACAAACTTCACGCACAGCGGGACTGAGAGGGGCACATCTATTACATTTGTTGCGTACACCTATACAGCGGTGCTGTTTTACTACATTCGTATTCCCATGTTTCTACTTCCTTGGTGACAGCAACATATTCTCCAGAAAACAACAACTAACTCCTGCACGCATGGTGGGGTAGGTCTCCGATCTCTTCTTTCAATGTACCGGATCCCTGTAAATCAGTTGTATGCAGCCTGCACAGATTCCTCCATCTGTTCACTGCAGATGTAGAAAAGATGGGGGGTGTCCCAACCAAGTGCTCTGCTGAAGCCGGGGGGTGGGGGAAGCAATCTCCAGGTGAGCCCTTCCCTTCCAAATTCTGCCCCCTGAAGGCCTAGCTAGCCTGCTGCCTTTGGGTTACAGACTTCTGTTGACCTGTGTCATTTATCCTGCCATAGCTGCCTGATCATGGGAGAGCGTGAACAGCTGGGCAGCTTGCCCAAGCCCTGACCAAATGGCTCCCTTGGCTTCCGAGATCATCATCACCAAGCACTGCCTGTTTCAGCACCTTCAAGCCTCAAGTCACTTCTGTAAGGACTAGAAACCGGCACGCACACTCTCTTATCTTTCTCACACACACACATGCACTACCTACAAGATTAGAGCATAACTACACCTAGCACTATTGTGCTGCATCCGAACAGCAAAACTGCCGGTCTCACAGGGCCCCGCATCGCCACCTTCCAGAGTTATTTTGAAAGTGCAAAATACTCAGAAATGAGAATGGCTAATGCAGCTGCGACCAGCTATGTTTTTTTAAACATTCCAGCTGGTACAGAAGAGGCAATTCCATCTTAATGGTCCACTAAGCAGGTCAATTTGGCATTGCAAACGGCGGCGGTCTGTTACGTTGGCAACCGTAAGCAAAAGGGGGGAAAAAGTGTGGTTTCCTCTGCCCCGCTTGGCACTCTGGCCTCCCGCCACCCTGCAGGAGTGTTTTTCTCTCGCTGCCACCCGTAAACAGTTCCTCACAGCCAAGAGGCTTATGGCATGGAAAAAAGAGGGACGGGGGGCCCCCACCACTTATTTCCAAGGAGGAAGGGCCTCCACACAGCTGGCAGCCCCTGCTCTAAGAATCCCTTCCGACACAGCCCACTGCGGAAGGACTGACAGGCCGCAGATGTGGGGCTCAGTCTCCCCCTGAAGGCGCCGGCCCGTACCCGGTGCCAGCGAGCCACACACCAGCCTCGGCAATGGAAGGCACCGTCTGCCTACCTCGGCACAGAGATGGAAATAGCACAGCAAGACCGTGGCCTCGGAACACGTGATCAGGAGGATGATGAAGACTAAGAACAGGAAGCCAAACATGTAGTACATCTGGTGAGACCTGGAAGGGAAAGCAAGCACTCGGATCAACGCCCAAATTTTGTTTTCTCTGTTATGTTTACATCCTGCTTTTTCCTCCAGGAAGATCAAGATCGCCTGGAAAACTGAAAAACATGGCTTGTAATCTCTACTCCAAACAAACCGCTCACCTTGCTATGATGGCAAGAGAATATAAACACCAGGGACGGGATTTCGGATTTCTTGGACTACAAATCCTGTAATTCTCCACTCAAGGAATTCTACCTGACGAACAACTACATGTGTTGAGACAAGCCCCAACTGGAATGATTCAAAATTTAGCTAGGCCTAGCTCCACCTTGCTTCCTGTTCAGAAAGAAAGCTCCCAGCTAGCACTGGGGCAGGAAGAGGAAGTTCAGGCAGAGCTAGGCCTAGCCCAGCCTCAAAAGCTTTCCCGCTGCAGCTTTTCCCCCAGATCAGGCATGTTTAGGTGTCTGCTTGTAGACTGGAGAGTTATGGGTTTTGTATTCCAAGAAATCCAGAAATCCTATCCCTAGCAAACATAATTTAATTGACAGGCACCGTCTTTCTCTTTTGCTTCTGTAGCAAAGGGTTTCGTTACCTTTTATTCCCACCAGGTGGCAGCAACAGAGTACTTACTGTACATGTCACAGTATTTCCGGGACCTTGTTTATACTTCTCATTGGTCAACTATTTACTTCTGAAAATCATATTTTAACGTTTCACAACCTTTGTGAATGTATTATCTCACTTCTTCATTCTATTTCTGAAGTCCTGGTTTTTTTACCCCGCTCCCAAAACATATACCTTGGTGAAGCAGTCTGAATTCATAAGCATCTCTGCTACAGGATTCTAGGTCAGAGAAACAGCTTCTTTAGTAAAGAAAGAATTATGGCCAGCCACTCTGAATAATTGTTACACAAACAAAATTGGCAGAGTGACTGGTTGAGGGTAAGATACGAAAGGTTGAGACCCACCGGTCCGGAGGTTCACAGGTTCTCTACTTCCCATCAAAATAAATTCAAAACTTGTGATTCCACAACGCGGGGCAGAACGAATCGAGTAGCTTGAGAATGACAGACTTAAAACAGAGGAGGGATCGATGCTTACCAAATGCTATTGAGAATGAAAAACAGCTGGATGAAAATGCATCCGAAGGGTAAGATGCCACCCATGATGATGCCAGGGAGGGGCTTTGTGAAGAATGACTGTTCTGGGATTTGACGCGGAATCTGATTGGTACGCACGGGGTGCTCGATGGGCTAGAGAGAGAGGAGTGAGATACAATTCACTAGACACATACACATGAATAAGCCGTAGGCTGGGGGGGTGTAGACTAGATTTAGCAGCTCGTCCCAACTACGGTATCAATGGGTCTTTTCTGTAAGTCATCACTCGTGTCAGTCCCATAGATTCTGCAAGCCTATCCTCATCAATTACTTTTGAGGCCGAAAGCTCATTAAGAAGGTCAAAGGATTGCTGCTCATGGCCCTGGAGCGGTTGCCTCTGAAGAACCGCTTCTGATACAGAGGGAAAGAGTGGCGTGATGAAATGACACCACCCTCCCTCCCTTCTGACACATTCCTCCATTTCCACAAGAAATCCTTTCCTGGCCCACCCAAACTGACATGCTACAGCAAAGACAGGTGACCTCAAAAGGACTCAGGGGTCAAGTTGGCAAAAACAATGCAATATTTACTGTATATAAGCTTCAAGGGCCTTAGAGGAGCTTTCGGGGGGAGGGGGTGCAACAGTGCCCTTGTGGGCCATATGAAGCCCACCCCATGCGACAGCCTGAATCCTCTTATTCCTATGTCTCTTGTCCACCCGTAGTGGTGCAATACGGCAAGAGATCTACCGCCAGGGCCCACAGAGGCATTTATAAAACACCACTAAGACATTTTCCCACTCTCTGTTCTTTCGACCCCTGTCTATAGCCTTCTGAAGTTTTAAAAAAAGGGGGAACATTCTCAAGCAGCAAAATAAGAATTTTTTTTTAAAGTGCGATCTTTCTTACCCACCTTCTCTTTGAATCCAAAGTAGGCACCGATAAAAGTTAAGGGCACAGATATTCCAAACCACATGGCCAATATGGCAAGCAGCGTGCCAAAGGGGATGGCGGCAGACGATCCCTTCACCCACAGAATGAGGTTCATAATGAAGAAATCCGCAAAGACGATTCTGAAGGAAGAGGAACACAATACAAAACCCATTTAGACCAGAGTTTACCGTACGCGTGGAGCTTCTAATGGTGGACGTTCAGTCTGTGGGAACCTGCGAGGATCTAGAAAACATTCAAGTCCAGCAATGTGAAAATGGCACCCACAGCTGTGTGATCAATAGAGTAACTGTGGCCACAATTCCTGCTCCATCCTTCACACTTCCACGCAGCACAAAAACCGTGTGACACTCCAACCTGTCATGCACAGACGTTTCCCCCCCCCTCCATTTTACCAAAGAAATACTGGCAATTTTAGGGAACCCTGGGGAAAACATTCCAATTATCATACATTCCCATCTGAAAAAGAACAGAGTGTTTTATACAATGCTGTTTTCTTCACTCATAATGGGCAATACAAAGATTTTATATGCAAGGGAACCTGCAACACTGTGGAATATTTCCTGTACAGTCCAATCTTTACGTCACCCTAAAGTTCCTGGCCTTTACTATACTATTTCGACTGTGGTGCAGTTTTTGACTGAAAGCTTTTGCTTACTCCACAGACTGCGATTTCTCTTTTCAACATTTATTTCTGTCCTACTTCTTGGACAATAAGAGCTAAGATCCAGGTGGTTAGATAAGATAAAAAGCAACCGTTTACAGCCTTCTGTTTATTTGCTGCAGTTCTATTTATAATTTTCCTGGTGCAAAACTAAAGCATTTATACTATTCGTGCAGCTATCTCATGTCAGCCTATCTGGGAGGGGGCACCACTAAAAAAAGGTGTGCCTTCCTTCTCGATAAAGGTGCGTAAGATTTTTTTTTCATACAAGCCACCTTGGGAGAGGCTTTAAACCAAAAGGTGGTCCACAAATATTACATCAATGCAAGCTCACTGCAAATTCACCAAGTATACTTTTTCTAAACTTTCTTTTGTTTTCTTATTGTTGTTGCTAGTTGCCTAGCTCCCTTTCTCCTCTTCTCTACATCCTATACAGCTGGGGTCGAGGTGATTTATGGCATCGCCCCATACGAGCCTTCTCAGCTTTTCAGATCTTCTGGGGATGCCTGTTTCTTGGTCCCACCTTTCCAAACTCCTCTGATAAGGATGCAAGAGACAGCCGTCTCGGTGGCTTCTCCCAAAATTTGAAATGCCTTGCCCCGAGAAGGCAGGTTGGCGCCCTCCCATCATCACGCAAAGCATCTCCCTTTTCAGGTAGGCTTTTAGGTAGCAAGTTGTCTCAGACATGCTGGTTTTTAACTCAGAGATTTTAAAATGGTTTTCGATTGTTTATAATCTTGGTTTTTAAGCTTAATATATATATTTTAAGTTTATTTTAACCTAATAGTTATACAGGGTTTGTTTTTTAACACTGTTGCTTGTTTCATAGTTTTTTTAATTATTATTACTTCTCCCAAAATTTGAAATGCCTTGCCCCAAGAAGGCAGGTTGGCGCCCTCCCATCAGAAGGCAAAGCATCTCCCTTTTCAGCTAGGCTTTTAGGTAGCAAGTTGTCTCAGGCATGCTGGTTTTTAACTTATAGATTTTAAAATGTTTTTAGATTGTTTATAATCTTGGCTTTTAAGCTTAATATATATATATTAAGTTTATTTTAACATAATAGTTATACAGGGTTTGTTTTTTAATACTGTTGCTTGTTTCATAGTTTTTTAAATTATTATTATTGTGAGCCACCTTAGATCCCCTATGGGGAGACAGGCAGTATATTAATTAATTCATTAATTAAATATCCTCACAACAGCCCTACAAGGTAGGACACGTGGTGAGTGACTGGCCCAAGAACAGCCTGCGAGTTTCAAGGCTCAGCTAGAAATCTATGGAACTCACACCAGCATTCTAACCATTAAAACCATCGTGGCTAGCTTTTCCAAAGTGAGAAAAATCGGCTTTCTTCGCTCACATATGATTTTTATCTTCATGGAAAGTTAACATCTCCAGCCTGGACGGACACAGTTTTGGATACTAGCGTCTTACTTCTAATTCCCAGTGTGGTGTAGTGGATAGAGCGACGGACAAAGACTTTAGAGAACAGGGTTCAAATCCCTGCTTGGACAGGAAACTCATGGGGTGTGTTTGGAACTGGTAAAGGTAAAGGTTCCCCTTGACATTGAGTCCAGTCGTGTCCGACTCCAGGGTGCAGTGCTCATCCCCATCTCCAAGCCGTAGAGCCAGCGTTTATCCGTAGACAGTTTCCGTGGTCATGTGGCCAGCACAACTAGACATGGAACACTGTGATCTTCCCACCGAGGTGGTACCTATTTATCGACTCGCATTTTTACATGCTTTCGAACTGCTAGATTGGCAGGAGCTGGACAAGCGACGGGAGCTCTATCTGTTGCATGGATTCAATTTTACAACTGCTGGTCCTTGACCTTGCAGCACAGAGGCTTCTGGGGTTTAACCCGCAGCACTACCATGTCCCTTAACCCTTCTTACCCTACCCAAAAATCCATCAATTAAAAAATAATAGATATCTCAGTCAATTAAAAAACAAAACAAAACAAAGAACCCC